CATCAACGCCTTCCGTGGATTCCAACACAACCCCTGCAAGCTCAGAGTGCTACACAAGGGCAAGATTAATCTCTTCACAACGCCACAAGAAGCCGGAAAGTTCTACAAAAGCATCAAACAATAGCCTCTGGTGTGTGTTGTGTGGGAATCACACGGCTACAATGAGCTTGGGATTGCATCGGAAGATATCATGCATTGTGAGTTGAGTTACAGTTGCAAATATTTACATTGTCTTTATACACGTGTGTATATGGAGGTTTCTTTTATTCCTCTCTCTCTCTCTCCTTCTTAAAAGAAAGAAATATAATTCTGTTCGAAAGTATAATAAGGATGGCATTGTGTTCATATGTATTTTGTATGTTTCATTAGACCAGCAGATATTGTTTTAATATGTTTAGATGGTATTGTGTTATGTCCTGAAGGGATATATTACTTGACAAGGTTTAAATGTGTGGTTGTTGGGCACCGATTTTTTGTTTTGTGAGCTTGGGTCGAGTTACACTGACTGGTTGCTCCTCGTATATTGTGGATCAACGTCCCTCAATGTTTCTACACAAGGGGTGGGGTATGCATTTCAGTTGGGGGAATGCTAGGGTTGAGGGTGTGCCTGTTCTGGGGTGTGTTTGTGTGTTTGTGTGTGCGTGTGTGCGTGTTTCGTTTGGGGGGAGGAGGGGGGTCACTTGCACCATATTAAATCATTTTGTAAAAATATTTACAGTTTCGTTGCTTTATAATGCTGAGATGAATGTCTATGGAGAGAACAAGTCAGAGCAGTAGTTTGGATATTAAAGTTACAAGCTGGAACGTCCGGGGAATGAGAACATTGGCTAAATTGAAGCAAGTTTTAAACAAGGTAAAATATCTTAAATCTAAAATAGTCTTTCTACATCTGCAACATTTACTCGCTGCAGATGTTCACTATTTGAGCAAAAGGTGGCCAGGCAAAGTATTTTATTCTTCCCATAGTACTTATGCACGAGGTGTGGTACACACATCGATACCATTTCAACTTATAAAAACTATCCAAGACCCACATGGAAGGTATATTATTGTCCAAGGCAATATTTTGTCACAAAAAAATAATTGTATAAGTATCTATGGCCCGAATGAGGATAACCCCTCATTCTTTGAAAGATTGTTTCTAACTCTGTCCGCTTTGGAGGGACTTTTATAGGAGGAGACTTTAATTGTGCTCTTGATCCACTCCTTGATCTACACAGGTTGATATGACTCATGTGCAAACAAGGAAAACACTGCTTAGATATATAAAGGATAAGGTTAAGTGAAGTTTGGAGGAACTTGAACCCGGATAAGAGGGCATTTTATTGCTATTCAAGCTCATATAAAACTCATTCACGCATTGATTATTTTTTTATTTCTGTGGAAGGTCAAAAGTTGTGGTTACAGTAGTATTGTAATAAGTGACCACGCAACAGTGTTTATGGAGATCAACTTAGGCAGGTTTGAACGTCACGCAAGATGGAGGTTACAAGTTTATCTACTTCAAGACCCAGACTTTGTTACATTTGTGGAAAGTTGCATTGACAATTATTTTTGAACTAAATACAGATGAAACTTCAGACAGCATTAGATGGGAAGCATTTAAAGCTTACATAAGAGGAGAAATGATCAGTTTTACAAATTCTAAAACTAAGCAGCATAATCAAGAATTACAAACATTAGAATTTTAGAATTTGTAAAACTGATCATTTCTCCTCTTATGTAAGCTTTAAATGCTTCCCATCTAATGNCAAAGTTTTTTTATTGGACCTAATATTTTTCCTTTTTTTACATATTATTCAGTATGAAATAAAGAAACATACATTGACTATCTGTTGCATACACCCCCCAGAAATCAACTGCCAAAAAAAGTTTTTCATGTAAGATAAGGACTTTAATATTAAAGTTATCATAGCTAATCTCAATGAATCTGGGAGCGTTCCTTTCACAAAAGATTCTTCATTCATATCGAGAAGCGGCTTTACAAGTTGTTTTTTAAATGTTTTATAAAACTCTATTGGAAATCCGTCTGGTCCGGGTGCTTTACCGCTGTTGATATTCCCTATAGCTTCACAAAGGTCAGCTATTGTCAATGGACTATCTAGTTTTGCTTTTTCATCATCTGACAGAGTACAGTATGCAACTGTAGCCTATCAAGGAAATTGTTATTTATCTCTTTTGGGTCTACAGTTAAGATGCCAGATACTGACTGATGTTATACCATTGATTATTCTTTCTGCTTGCATTTTCTTTACTCTCCAGTCCCCTTGATCGTAGTACGTTTGTTTAGTCCACATTAGGCTTTTAGCCACTCTGTCACTTGTTAACTTATCGTAACTAGCTCTCATGACGGATAGATCATGTAATTTTTCAGGATCATTGTGACAGTACATTTCAGTCTCTGCTTTCTTTCTGCTTTCATCTGTATTTAGTTGAAAAATAATTGTCAATGCAACTTTCCACAAATGTAACAAAGTCTGGGTCTTGAAGTAGATAAACTTGTAACCTCCATCTTGCGTGATGTTCAACCCTACCTAAATTGATCTCCATAAACACAAAACAAAACAAAAAATCGGTGCACAACAACCACACCTTGAAACCTTGTCAAGTAATATATCCTTTCAGGACATAACACATCTAAACATATTAAAACAATACCTGCTGGTCTGATGAAACATACAAAATGCATGTGAACACAATGCCATCCTTATTATACTGTATAGGTCTACTCCCAAACAGAGTCATATTTCAATGGGCTTTCTCTTAAGAAGGAGAGAGAGAGGAATAAAAGAAACCTCCATATACACACCCGTATAAAGACAATGTAAATATTTGCAACTGTAACTCAACTTACAATGCCTGATATCTTTCGATGCAATCTCAAGCTCATTGTGGCCGTGAGAATCCCACACAACACAAACCAGAGGCTATTGTTGGATGCTTTTGTAGAACTTTTCGTTGTGAAGAGATTAATCTTGCCGTTGTGTAGCACTCTGAATTTGCAGGGGTTGTGTTGGAATCCACGGAAGGCGTTGATGTCAACAAACAACTTTGTAACAGTGTTAAATCCCCGTCGGATCCCGACCGTTTCTGCAGATAAATCCTGCGGGAATTAT